TCCAGAACATCATGAAATGTTATCGCTCTCAACCTCAGGCCAACAGCAACGTAAGAAGCACACACACACAGACGTAGAACACACAGAGCACACACATAAAGCACCCACAGACATAGAGCACACACACATAGAGCAAACACACACACGTAGAGCACACACACACAAACATAGAGCACACATAGCACATACACACACACACGCACACACACAGAGTACACACATAGACAGACAGAAACACACACACACATAGAGCACACTCACACTGTGTGTGTGTGTGTGTGTGTGTGTGTGTGTGTGTGTGTATGTGTGTGTGTGTGGTCCAGGTGTACAGGAGTGTGTTGATATCTGGGCGGAGTCGACACTCAGACGACACGAACAAACACAACGTGACGTCCGACAGCAAACAGGACTCAGGTAAGACCTGAGGAGACTCCTCCTTACCATGGCAGAACCTGTATGTTACCATGGTAACCAAAACAAAAGTCCAACACACCCACAACAGATGATTTATTGATTTGATTTAAATGACAATCCTTTTTCTCTTGTTTCTGCTCCTCCAGCAGAGGGAGACATCAGTCCACTTCCTGTTCGCTCCAGCAGCACCTTACCCGCCACCCAACCCGGCAGTGCCCCCTCCACCCCCAACAAGACCTCCTCGTCCTCCTCGGCTGTGTGTGAGGCGGAGGACGAGGAGCGAGGAGACCTGATCCTCTTCTACAACAACGTCTACATCAAACAGATGAGACTGTTCGCTCTCAGATACTCGCCCAGCTCGCCCTCTGCTGGGGTAAAAGAGCATTAAACTCTCATGTCTGCTTATTCAACCAGTCAGAAACCTTTAATTAATGTGTGTGTGTGTGTGTGTGTGTGTGTGTGTGTGTGTGTGTGTGTGTGTGTGTGTGTGTGTGTGTGTGTGTGTGTGTGTGTGTGTGTGTGTGTGTGTGTGTGTGTGTGTGTGTGTGTGTGTGTGTGTGTGTGTGTGTGTGTGTGTGTGTGTGTGTGTGTGCGCGCAGTCCCCCCCTCTCTGTCCGTACCCCACCCTGAGGACAGGCTCGCCCCGTCGGATGCTTCTCTCCAGCAAACACTCCATCTACATCTCCCCTCACAAGACAAGCTCCACCCCCACGCCGACCTCTGCCCGGGACAAGATGTCTTACTACATCTGCAGCAGCCCCCCCAATGTGAGCGCCTCCCCCCTCCCCCAAAGCTCTCCTGAACCTCTAGATTCCACAGCGATTTGGAGCCTCTCCAGCTCTGCCCACTTCTCTAAATATGGTCACTCCCTACCACAAAATATTCTTCTTGAAAACATCTGCTGAGAGCTTCTTTTAGTCCAATCAAAATTGGACCTTAATGAACTAAATAAACATAATTTCTATCTTTATTCTAAGAGCCAGAAGTGACCATATTTGGACAAGAGGGCGGAGCTGGAACTCCTCTCCAGCTTCGCCCTCCAAATATGGTCACTTCCTTTGACAAAACCAAAGAAGCGTAGACTAGAGATTGAGAAGATGAAATGTTTACTGAGGGAAGAAATCAAGGGAACATTTCTGTAGGAGTGTTCGCCCCCTGCTGGTCATGCAGCTTCAGATTCTTCAGATGAACAACTGAGAGATGTTCTGTGAGTCAAACCATATGAATGATTAATCATTGATCCTTTATCTCAGCGTCTACAGGAGATCAACAGCATGATCCGCACCGGTGAGACTCCGAGCAGGAAGCGCAGCGTGCCGCTGGAGGACGGCACGTCCCCGAAAAGAGTCTGTCCTGACAACCACTCTGCTCTACTGCGCCGCCTGCAGGACGTGGCTAATGACCGCAGCTCCTCCCACTGACTGACACTTGCCTACGGAAGCCCTGAGCGGACATGAAGGGTTAGGGTCTTTGTTTCATTAGGACAGAGCAGCTGTGGCTCAGTGGTAGAGGGGGTCAGACTGAAGGTCGGGGTTTCGATCCTCAGCTCCTGAAGCTGATGGTCTCAGTTGGCTGCAGGTTACACACTTCAGAACCGTCTGTCAATGTCTCAACAACTTCACGCCAGGACGATGACATCATTAGGAGGAAGTTTCCACACGTCTACTTCCTCCACTTCTTCCTTGCTACTTCTCCTCTCCCAGCTCGCTAGTTTTTTACAATGCCTTCTCTTTCAGTCCCCCTATCATGATGTGTCCACCTCCCTTCACTGTCCTCTCCTCTCCTCTCCTCTCCTCTCCTCCCCTGACTGAGATGTTGTCAACATTGATGAAGTCCGTCGGTGAGACTTGAGGGTTGGCTCTGATTTATTTGGCGGTTGATGAAGCGTCCATCTTGTTTGCAGTCACTCTGGTGTTTCTAACGTAGTCATCATATTTATCATCATCGACACTCAGCCGTTCTTCTTCTGCTCGCTGTGTCTCCTCCCATCATCACGTTGACCTCAGACAGTCGAGGCCATGAAAAGTGTGTAAATATTTGTAAAAAAGAGAGAAGTTATTTTATGGAGCTCTTTGTAACTTAAGTGCCTTTTTTTACTCCTGAACTCTTTTTCTTTGTTTCAACAACTGATGGAATAAAAAGTTATAACCACCTGATGTAGTTTGTGTGTGTCACCACCAGATGGTGCTGTCGAGACAAGCCACAACACACACACACACACACACACACACACACACACACACACACACACACACACACACACACACACACACATTACACACATATTACACACACATACAGAAACACACGCACACACACCCACCAACACACAAAGTGTGTGGACACTTGAGGAACTGAAACATTTTGATCTGGATTTCCACCCAGCAGAGCAGAGAGGAGGTGTCAGTGAACGCAGCTCTGTCAGTACAGATGTGAGGATGACAGCAGACGGAGAGGACGAAAGAAGTTTGTGAGTCTGTTTGTGTTTGATTCTCAGATTCCTTCCCCACACAGACACACACATGCACAAACTCACACACACACAGGTGAGTCTACATTCGATCTTATTTACTTTTGTTTTATGATGCTCAGAGGTAACTTTCTGCTGCGACAGAAGCCAACCGGTCTTATGACTTTCTGTTAAAATGATATGAAAACTGAAACAGTCAGTGAGAGCGGCTCACTTCTGCACTGTGATTTACTTCCTGTTCACTCTTTGTTCATTTCTTCACAAACACTTCCCCCTCTGCACACCCTGACACACAAACACATCAGTGCACTGTATGTTTTCAAACTTCCTGCTGGAAAGACACAGTTATTTAAAGCAGCTGTGAGGACTTTTAGCTTATGAAACAAGACACAGCAGCCTCTACGATCAGTGAGTGAATGTGTATGAATGGATGAGTTAATACTGATGGACTCTTTAAATACATGGAATCATAAACCCCAGGAGAAGCAGGCTTAGAGTTAAAAAAAAAAAAAAGAAGAAACATGCAGGACTTTAAGATATTTGCTGTGTTATTTTTATGTTGCAGATCAGCTGTTTGAAGAACCACTGAAAGACTCTGAAGACTCAACTGAGGTGACCTGATGGATCCAGGTCCTGACTTGCTTGCTCTCTGTCCTGACTTATCTTAACTTGTTCTGTTAAATCATTTAGACTTCCGTTAACCTGCTGTGAATCATAACGGTCTTCATACAGCAGCTGGTTAGCTTAGCTTAGCATAAATACTGCAAACAGAGGTAAACATTTCAGGTCAATGGCAGAGTTTGTACCTGTGTTCCTGAATATTTATTGTGTGTGTGTGTGTGTGTGTGTGTGTGTGTGTGTGTGTGTGTGTGTGTGTGTGTGTGTGTGTGTGTGTGTGTGTGTGTGTGTGTGTGTGTGTGTGTGTGTGTGTGTGTGTGTGTGTGTGTGTGTGTGTGTGTGTGTGTGTAGACGAGCCCCCCAGTTGTTCCAGTCTGACCACTCAGCAGCTGCAGCAGTCCTGGAGGGCACTGAAGCGGAGAGAGCGTCCAGTCAGACTGCTGTTTGAGATCCCGTCAAGTCGAATCATCGAGAGAAACACTCTGAACAAACATGTGGTGAGAAATCTGACCCAGCTTTATTCAGAGATTAAAAACAGATCAGTGTTCACCAAAGTGCTTTACAGTCCACAAATAAATAACTCATCATAAATAGTCTGGTAGTCATCTGCATGAAGTGTTAGGAGCAGCCATGTTTTTTAACAATCAGGACGAGATAGAGGGAAAGGAGGATGGGCCTGAGGATTGAACTCTCCTCCACTTTTCTTTCATCTTTTCTGTTTTGATTTTTCTGGTCACAATGCCAGATTTTCAAACTCTGATATAAATATAGAAAAATCTAACAATATCGATACCTGTTTGTTACCACGGCAACACAAACTGAAGTCCTAGTTTCTTGTTATAATTTCATATCAGTGCAGACAAAAGAGAGAGAGCAGCGTTTCATCATCCAATCACGTTTCATCATCCAATCGAGCCAAACGCTTCATCATCCAATCGCGTTTCATCATCCAATCGAGCCAAACGTTTCATCATCCAATCGAGCCAAACGTTTCATCATCCAATAACGTTTAATCATCCAATCGAGCCAAACGTTTCATCATCCAATCGAGCCAAACGTTTCATCATCCAATAACGTTTAATCATCCAATCGAGCCAAACGTTTCATCATCCAATCGCGTTTCATCATCCAATCGAGCCAAACGTTTCATCATCCAATCGAGCCAAACGTTTCATCATCCAATGAACGCTCGATTTGATCATCCAATCGAGCCAAACGTTTCATCATCCAATCGCGTTTCATCATCCAATCGAGCCAAACGTTTCATCATCCAATAACGTTTCATCATCCAATAACGTTTCATCATCCAATAACGTTTCATCATCCAATCGAGCCAAACATTTCATCATCCAATAACGTTTCATCATCCAATAACGTTTCATCATCCAATCGAACCAGACATTTCATCATCCAATAACATTTCATCATCCAATCGAACCAGATGTTTCATCATCCAATAACGTTTCATCATCCAATCGAACCAGACGTTTCATCATCCAATAACGTTTCATCATCCAATAACGTTTCATCATCCAATCGAACCAGACGTTTCATCATCCAATAACGTTTCATCATCCAATCGAGCCAAACGCTTCATCATCCAATCGAGCCAAACGTTTCATCATCCAATAACGTTTCATCATCCAATCGAGCCAAACGTTTCATCATCCCATCACGTTTCATCATCCAATCGAGCCAAACGTTTCATCATCCAATCGAGCCAAATGCTTCATCATCCAATCGAGCCAAACGCTTCATCATTCAATCGAGCCAAACGTTTCATCATCCAATCGAGCCAAACGTTTCATCATCCAATAACATTTCATCATCCAATAATGTTTCATCATCCAATCGAGCCAAACGTTTGATCATCCAATCGCGTTTGATCATCCAATCGAGCCAAACATTTCATCATCCAATCGCGTTTCATCATCCAATCGAGCCAAACGTTTCATCATCCAATAACGTTTCATCATCCAATAACGTTTCATCATCCAATCGAGCCAAACGTTTCATCATCCAATCACATTTCATCATCCAATCGAGCCAAACGTTTCATCATCCAATCGCGTTTGATCATCCAATCGAGCCAAACGTTTCATCATCCAATCGCGTTTCATCATCCAATCGAGCCAAACGTTTCATCATCCAATAACGTTTCATCATCCAATAACGTTTCATCATCCAATAACGTTTCATCATCCAATCGAACCAGACGTTTCATCATCCAATAACGTTTCATCATCCAATAACGTTTCATCATCCAATCGAGCCAGACATTTCATCATCCAATCACGTTTCATCATCCAATCGAACCAGACGTTTCATCATCCAATAACGTTTCATCATCCAATCGAACCGGACGTTTCATCATCCAATAACGTTACATCATCCAATCGAGCCAAACGTTTCATCATCCAATCGTGTTTCATCATCAAATAACATTTCATCATCCAATAACGTTTCATCATCCAATCGAGCCAAACGTTTGATCATCCAATCGCGTTTGATCATCCAATCGAGCCAAACATTTCATCATCCAATAACGTTTCATCATCCAATAACGTTTCATCATCCAATCGAGCCAAACGTTTCATCATCCAATAACGTTTCATCATCCAATAACGTTTCATCATCCAATCGAGCCAAACGTTTCATCATCCAATCACATTTCATCATCCAATCGAGCCAGATGTTTCATCATCCAATAACGTTTCATCATCCAATCGAACCAGACGTTTCATCATCCAATAACATTTCATCATCCAATCGAACCAGATGTTTCATCATCCAATAACGTTTCATCATCCAATAACGTTTCATCATCCAATAACGTTTCATCATCCAATCGAACCAGACGTTTCATCATCCAATAACGTTTCATCATCCAATAACGTTTCATCATCCAATCGAGCCAGACATTTCATCATCCAATCACGTTTCATCATCCAATCGAACCAGACGTTTCATCATCCAATAACGTTTCATCATCCAATCGAACCGGACGTTTCATCATCCAATCGAGCCAAACGTTTCATCATCCAATCGTGTTTCATCATCCAATAACGTTTCATCATCCAATAACGTTTCATCATCCAATCGAGCCAGACATTTCATCATCCAATCACGTTTCATCATCCAATCGAACCAGACGTTTCATCATCCAATAACGTTTCATCATCCAATCGAACCGGACGTTTCATCATCCAATAACATTACATCATCCAATCGAGCCAAACGTTTCATCATCCAATCGTGTTTCATCATCCAATAACGTTTCATCATCCAATCGAGCCAGACGTTTCATCATCCCATCGCGTTTCATCATCCAATCGAGCCAAACGTTTCATCATCCAATCGAGCCAAACGCTTCATCATCCAATAACGTTTCATCATCCAATCGAACCAGACGTTTCATCATCCAATAACGTTTCATCATCAAATAACGTTTCATCATCCAATCGAGCCAAACGTTTCATCATCCAATCGAACCAGACGTTTTATCATCCAATAACGTTTCATCATCCTATCGAACCAGATGTTTCATCATCCAATAACGTTTCATCATCCAATCAAGCCAGACGTTTCATCATCCAATAACGTTTCATCATCCAATCGAACCAGACGTTTCATCATCCAATAACGTTTCATCATCCAATCAAACCAGACGTTACATCATCAAATAACGTTTCATCATCCAATCGAGCCAAACGTTTCATCATCCAAGCGAGCCAAACGTTTCATCATCCAATAACGTTTCATCATCCAATAACGTTTCATCATCCAATCGAGCCAAACGTTTCATCATCCAATCGCGTTTCATCATCCAATCGAGCCAAACGTTTCATCATCCAATAACGTTTCATCATCCAATAACGTTTCATCATCCAATCGAGCCAAACGTTTCATCATCCAATAACATTTCATCATCCAATCGAACCAGATGTTTCATCATCCAATAACGTTTCAACATCCAATAACGTTTCATCATCCAATAACGTTTCATCATCCAATAACGTTTCATCATCCAATCGAACCAGACGTTTCATCATCCAATAACATTTCATCATCCAATCGAACCAGATGTTTCATCATCCAATAACGTTTCATCATCCAATAACGTTTCATCATCCAATAACGTTTCATCATCCAATAACGTTTCATCATCCAATCGAACCAGACGTTTCATCATCCAATAACGTTTCATCATCCAATAACGTTTCATCATCCAATCGAGCCAGACGTTTCATCATCCAATCACGTTTCATCATCCAATCGAACCAGACGTTTCATCATCCAATAACGTTTCATCATCCAATCGAACCGGACGTTTCATCATCCAATAACGTTACATCATCCAATCGAGCCAAACGTTTCATCATCCAATCGTGTTTCATCATCCAATCGAACCAGACGTTTCATCATCCAATAACGTTTCATCATCCAATCGAGCCAAACGCTTCATCATCCAATCGAGCCAAACGTTTCATCATCCAATAACGTTTCATCATCCAATCGAGCCAAACGTTTCATCATCCCATCACGTTTCATCATCCAATCGAGCCAAACGTTTCATCATCCAATCGAGCCAAATGCTTCATCATCCAATCGAGCCAAACGCTTCATCATTCAATCGAGCCAAACGTTTCATCATCCAATCGAGCCAAACGTTTCATCATCCAATAACATTTCATCATCCAATAATGTTTCATCATCCAATCGAGCCAAACGTTTGATCATCCAATCGCGTTTGATCATCCAATCGAGCCAAACATTTCATCATCCAATCGCGTTTCATCATCCAATCGAGCCAAACGTTTCATCATCCAATAACGTTTCATCATCCAATAACGTTTCATCATCCAATCGAGCCAAACGTTTCATCATCCAATCACATTTCATCATCCAATCGAGCCAAACGTTTCATCATCCAATCGCGTTTGATCATCCAATCGAGCCAAACGTTTCATCATCCAATCGCGTTTCATCATCCAATCGAGCCAAACGTTTCATCATCCAATAACGTTTCATCATCCAATAACGTTTCATCATCCAATAACGTTTCATCATCCAATAACGTTTCATCATCCAATCGAACCAGACGTTTCATCATCCAATAACGTTTCATCATCCAATAACGTTTCATCATCCAATCGAGCCAGACATTTCATCATCCAATCACGTTTCATCATCCAATCGAACCAGACGTTTCATCATCCAATAACGTTTCATCATCCAATCGAACCGGACGTTTCATCATCCAATAACGTTACATCATCCAATCGAGCCAAACGTTTCATCATCCAATCGTGTTTCATCATCAAATAACATTTCATCATCCAATAACGTTTCATCATCCAATCGAGCCAAACGTTTGATCATCCAATCGCGTTTGATCATCCAATCGAGCCAAACATTTCATCATCCAATCGCGTTTCATCATCCAATCGAGCCAAACGTTTCATCATCCAATAACGTTTCATCATCCAATAACGTT